CCATATGATAAATATTATTTAGAAGATACGAATGCTGAAACACGTTATGGTTTTCAATTACGTGAAAGTGTTCGTTTAGCTAAACAACATCCTATATTTGAAAATTATAAAATTTTTTGTACAAAAGATACATCACCACCATATGATGATTTAAAAGATATAATTGAAGCAGCTGGTGGAAAATTTATTGAAAAAATTAATTTAAATAAACCAGGAAAAGATTTAGTTTGTATTGTTGCACAAGTACATAAAAATGAATATGAAGATTTATGTAAGAAAGGTGTACCAATTGTAAGTGAAGAATTTGCTTTAAGTGGTATATCAAAACAAAAACTTGATTTTGAAGCGTAAGTTAATTTAATTTAAAATCAAATAAAAACATTATTTATTTTGTTTTTTTGAAATAGATTTTCTTTATTTCAAAATGTTGCTACTACAGTTAAACCAACTGGAAGTAAATAATGTTTAACTTTATTATCGTATTTGTATATAATCTTTATGATGTTATTAACATTTATTTTTTTTTTTGTTAGAGAAAAAAAAAAGAAAGTCTATATTCTATAATGTGCTTGTGTGTTATATCATTTTGTCTCTTGTATACTTTCTGACATGTCTATGATTAGGTTCATCGATATAGACAACTTTTTTTTTTCTGTTACATTTATTTGTCGTATGTGTGTGTTTTCTTTTTTTTTGTTTGCAACAACATTAAACAAAAGATTAAATGAGCAGAAGCAAAAGAAAAACAAAAGGTGTTCTGTTCTGTCTCTCTTTCTCTCTATATATAAATAAACGATGAATATCAAAAAAAAAGATTGTCTGTTATCATAGAAAGTTTTTTTTGATTTGTTACTTTCTTTTTTTTTTCTATATATGTTTTTTTTTTTGGTAGAATTACTTGAGAAACAAAATGGAGAATTTACCAGTTGAAGTAAGTTGAAATCAAAATAATATTTTTTTCGAAAGTTTTCATTTACATTTAAAAGATTTTTGATCTCATCTTGGCTCATTTAACATTAACTGATTGGAAATGTTTACGTTTGACAAGTCGAACAATCTATACACGTCTTTCATCATTTTCATCTTATTCTCATATACATTCAATAATTCTTTCACCAAAATCATCATCTGGTATAACACTTCTTGATAAACTAACATTAATGGAAGGTATTGAACATTTATCACTATCAAATTTTAATTATACTGAATTACATACACTTCTTCAAACATCTGAATCATTTCGTTTATGTCTTAATCAATTAAATAGTTTATCATTTGCACGTTCTGCAACATTAATTGATTCACGTATTTTCTATGAATTACTTTCATATTGTAAATCATTAGAAAAACTTGATTTAAGTAATTATAAATTCTTTTTTTTATCACATAATTTTTCACAAAATTCAAATATATATCCTTCAATAAAACGACTTAATTTAAATGGTAATATACATTTATCAGATTATGCATTTAATTGTTTAATGAAATCATTTCCAAATATTGAATCATTACATTTACTTGATATACCATTACGTTCATTTATAACTTCAAATGAAAATCGTACAGTTCTTACATTTGAAAATGTTTGTTCATATATACAAAAATATCATGAACGTTTTAAAGCATTAACTATATCATTTGAACCATCATTATCATGTGATACACAAATAAAACGTTTATTTATTAAAATACCAACAAATTTAATTTATTTTCATATTGATGGAACTTTAAATGTATCAACATTACTTCATTTTCTTCTTCTTTTTGATAATCATTTAGAAATATTAATTGTTGGACGTCTTAAACTTGATCATACTGGCTGTCAACCATTATTTGATGCTGTTAGTCAATATGCATCTAATTTAAAAAAATTATGTGTATTTTTAAATATTCCATTACATCTTTCTGCAACTCAACAACAACAACAAATACGTTTTCCAGGTATTTAATATAAAAAAAAAAACATGATTATTTTCAAAGATTTTATAATTTATTAATTTCATTTGAATGTAGACATTCGATTCGGTTTTTCTCTGGTAATTTTTTAAGTTTAACAAAAAAAAAAAAAAAAAGAAATTCATATAAATTAAGTCTGAATTCGTTTTGAAAAAGAATTTTGTTTCATTATTTGACTATATGTTAAAAATACTTTTTACTCGAAACTGTATTTATTCGATTGGTCATGCTGAGTAGTGAAAAAATCTGTTATAGTTTGGTTTTCTCATCTTCGTTTTTGGAGTGATGAATATTTTATTCGATTTTCGATCTATGAGTACAGAATCATTGTGAACTTTGATTATCAAATTTGAGCTGAAACTTTTCTATAGATAAGTCTTATAATTAGTTGAAGCTTGTTGACAAAGTTTGAGCCAGAGCAAACGTCTCCTTGCTAAGCCATATATCTAATACTATTCTTTCGCAAAAAATGCTGGTATTCTTTAAAATTCTGTAATCTGAAGTAGCGACTGCTGAGTTACACAAAGAAAAAAAAATAACATCTTTAACATTAACTAACAAAAGAAATGTTTAGACCAATATTAATAGCTAAAATTACTCGGCAAAAAAACAATTATCCTATAACAGACATGCCATGAAATAATTGAAATATGATTACGAACATAAATGCCTTGTAAAAATATGCAGTTCTTTATGATAATACTACGAAATCGTATTGTTTGTTTTTCTTCACTTATAACCTTGTTTTTTATTTCTTTCTTGAAATGATTTTTATTTGATTCTTTCTCTACTAAATTGAAGATACATATTAAAATTATACATTGTAATTAATGTTCAATTTTGTTTTTTGGTTTTAGTTTTTAATCAATCATCAGATATATCATTATCATCATTAAAACAATTAAATGATCTTGATATACAAACATTATATCCATTAAATGAAATTGATCTTATAAAATTATTTAGTGATAGTTTAACATATTTAAAAAAATTAGCTTTACCAAGAAATACAACTGATGATGTTATTAAACATATATGTATACAATCATCATTTGTTTTATCAATAACACATTTAAATTTAAGTAATTGTTCATCATTATCAAATCGTTCAATATTATTAATAAATAAATATCTTTTATCATTAAGAGAATTAACAATAAATTATAATATAAATATAAATGATTTTTCATTAATTGGTTTATCAATATGTGGTATTGGTAAAACAATTGAATGGCTTAGTCCAACATTAATAAATCGACAATTTATTGATGATTTATCAATATGGACATATACAATAACACATCAAACATTATGTAAATGTCAATTACCAACATATATATCATCATCATGTATTAAACTTCGTTTAAAAGATTTTAGTTTTGATAATGATGAATATTCTGAAAGAATATTATTTATGTTAACTGAACATAAATTATTTAATGAATATTTTTATTCTATAAATAAATTAAAAAATTTAAAATCACTTAAATTACGACAATGTATACAATTAACAAATCGTTTATTTCGTTTTGGCTTACGTTCATTACCAAATTTAAAATATTTAGATATTAGTTTATGTGAAAAAATTGATGATAAAAATTTATCATTAATTGGTCAAGCTTGTCCATCAATTGAAACAATTGATTTAAGTGGTTGTTATAAAATAACTGAAAAAGGAAAACAAATTTTAAAAAATACAGCTAAAAGAGTAAAAATTGTAGATTTTTAATTGTACTATATCTTTTTTTTAATTTTAAATTAAAATATTTTATTATTATTTTTTTTTTCCTTTGAGTTTTCTTTCTTTACGAAAAAAAAAAGAAATATAAAAGATTTTGTTTTATTCTTTCCATTTTAGAAAAAAAAAAGAAGCAAGTTTTTTTCTTTTAAATTAAACATAAATATGGTGAAAGTAATGATAAGTAATGTGACTGTTCATAATAATCCAGCAAAATTCTTATCGAATTATACATTTGAAATTAAATTTGAATGTTTAGAACAATTAACACAAGGTAGATTTTTATTTATTTATATAAAAAATAAACAAAAAAACATACATATTTTTTCGTAGAACTTGAATTTAAACTTGTTTATGTGGGTGATGCAAAAGAAGATAAACAAGATCAAGTACTTGATGTTGTCGTTATTGATGCTGTAGCTCCAGGAACATATAAATTTGTATTTGAAGTATGTTTTGTAAATTTTGATTTAATAAGTCTTATTCATATTGGCCACAAATATGTATAAAAAAAAATGACTATACTAACTTATTTGCTGCTTAGGGCGATTTCCTTGCTACTATATGTTAGCAAGACCACTGAAAAAAAGATATGAAAGAAAAGAGACAGCCCTTAGCAACAAATAAGCTAGTAGATGATCACTGTTTTAATATGTATATTCATGGCCAAAAGCGAACTGTAAATAAAGCTTATTTTTCTTCGAACTATAGGCTCCACCACCGGATCCAAAAAAATTACCAAATGATAGTGATGTTGATGTATCAGTTATTCTTCTTTTGGCATTATATCGTAATCAAGAATTTGCACGTGTAGGATATTATGTATTTACTGAATATGATGATCCAGAATTACGAGAAAATCCACCAGTTAAAGTTGATTTTGAAAAAGTAAATAGATTTTTTAATTAAATAATGAATCTATTTTCTTTTCTTTTTTTTGTCTAGTTAAATCGAAATATTGCAGTTGATGAACCTCGAGTAACAACATTTCCAATAATATGGGATGAACAACAACCAACTGATCAACTTGTCTTTGCTGAATTAACTGAAGAAGAAAAGAAAATGGCTGAAACGAATGAAGAACTTGAAATATGTCATAGTTTAGAAAATGTTAATTGTGCTAATGATACACCAAGTGAATCAACTGATACGAAAATTACAAACGAACCAATGGCATCAACTGAATTAAAAACAATAAATGAACCAATTGAACCATCAAACTCAATGGATTAATAGAATACAAAAAAAAAAGAAATTTTGATACTAATAGTTTATTTTTTCTTGCTAATCTAAATTGATATTTCTGTCTGTATATTATGTAAAGTTCTTCTAACTGTTATTTTTTTTTTTGAATAATTTGATTACTAACATCATATAATAACAGAAGATTAATAGACAAGAAAATAACTTCCAACTTTTCAAACATCTTATTACAGATAAATGTTTTGTATAAAATATTTACGATTACCATCAATTTCTGCGATTGCTCTTCGTCATTATGCTGTAACAAAAACTGCTACAGGTCCATCCGGTGCTGCATTAAAGCTTGGTGGTGGTGTAGCTAGTATGTTAAGAAATTGTGTGATTTAATAATCTTTGTTACATTTTATTGATAGAAAAAGGTGCTGTAATAACAACAACAATTCAACAATATATTGACGCTGAAACAGATCCTGAAAAATTAGTTAAATATTGTTGTGGTCTCAATTATAAAAAAGATCAAGAACCTATAGAAATAAAAGCCGATTCATCTTATCCAGATTGGTTATTTGGATTAGAAAAATTAGATAAAATTGATATTGAACAACTTGACAAAGATACATGGGAATATTGGACAAGATATAATGAACAAGGTGATGAATATATTCGAACTATAAATGAAAAACGTTTTCCTGAACGATATATACCAACTTGGTTAAAAGAATTAAGACCATTATATTAGAATAAATAATAGTTGTAATTTTTTCTTTGAACTGTTTTAATAAAGATAGACACATACACACATATAATATATATTTTTTTTATGTACAATGCATATCACAGAGGTGCGCTGCTTTGATGGCTTTTGCTCGAACATATTTCAAACAATACAACAAATATGAAAAATGAAAAACAAAAAAGAAAATACCAAACAAACAAAAAAAAAACAAAAGAAAGTTTTATCGAAATTGATGCTAATCCATATATATATAAATTGTCAAGATCAATTTCGTTTAATGGACGGAATCATGGCGAGAGATTTGTATTTAATATAACAATATTATTATTGTATTAAAATTAAAGACAACAAATAAGTACCACGACGACAAAATAAAATAAAGATAAATTATATCATTTATTTCCTCTATGAAAGAGGAATAAGTGATGGCTTATACTACATAATGAAATCTAAAATAAAAATAAATTTAGAAGAAAAAAAGAAAAAAAGGAAAAGTGTAAGGTTAAATTTTTCTTTTCTCATAAAGAAAATTTGACGATGAGGAAATAATTTAACTTAATGTGAAATAGAAGAGGTTTTTTTTTAGTGAAGAAAACGAGTGACACTTATCATAAGCAGTTCTTATGTAAATTGCTTATCGTATTCTTAGGTAATATCATACGATGAAACAAGGTTTACCTTACTATCTTTATCACAATCTAACATTTTGTAACTCATTCGGAAATATGCTTTGTTAGTTTGTCATTAAAGCGTTTTATTATAATCTTCTTTGTAATAACTTATCGTTAACATACTGTAAAGAAAAACAAGAGAGAGAGAGAGAGAGAGAGAAAAAAGAATAGAATGATGATTGTTCTGCCGGAACAAGCTGTGTATGTGTATATATATTTATGTTTTATATGTGCTTCTTCAAATAGAAACTGATTCCTTGTGACACGACAAGACGATGCTAAGCAACTTTGTTCGTGGGCAGCAAGGAGAATGATGACGGCGACAACGATAAAGTGTTTGAAAAAGGAACACTTGTAACTTTCTTTATTCACTCTTTTATTCTCTCATTTTTTCTTTTTTTTTTTGTTGTGTTGAAGATTTCAAATCTTTCTCTCTCGTTCTCTCTTCTCTCTTATGTAGAACGTAGTAAAATTTCATAATGTAAATGTATGTGCTTGACGTAAAGAGAAAGACTTTGTTGAGTAATAATGAATTTTGCTTGCCTGTCGGACGTTTTTCTTTTGAAAAAAAAAAGAAATACACGGTTGTCATATAAAGAAAAAGTGAGGACGATAATTGTGATAGGGAAAGAGAAGTAGAATAAAATTTTTTCTTTTTTCTTTTAAACTCGTAACAATACAAATGAATATAAAATTAATAGTGAAATGAAGTCATATAAACGGAATAGCACGTAGAAAATAGAGGAAATAACAAATCGATCGTAAGCAAACTGAGAAACATGCACGTATATATGATATTTCCGTGAAACCTGTTCTATGGTTTCTTTTTACAGTAAATTTGTACAAAAAAGATCAATTCTTTTGTCTGGAAACATATATAGAAGAGTGTTCATTGTTTTTTTTTCATTAAATATGTGTCAGACAAAGACAAAGAAATTTTCTCGAGTGATTATGCATTATGTCCATTGATCCGATTATAAAGACAATCATGTTGAGATGATAGACCAATGGATTATGCTTTTCAAACTCCTTTTCCATAATGCTAATCATCAGATCATCAATGGTGCACATATTATAAAAATCGATTATCATCGATAAAGTTTTATCAAGACAACTTAAATAATAAACAAATTCAAAAAGTATAATGGTCATTGTCTGTCTTATCTGTTAGAAAGACCAATTGGATAAAGTACAACAGAAAAACTTGTATTGTTTATCATCTTGATAGAATTTTTGATTTTGAATAGTAATGTTAATAAAATGTAAGATATTTCATGATTTCAACTTCAATTAAGTAACTGTTGTTACGAAATGACTTATAATTTGATTAAAGATATCTACTGCTTACATTAAATTAACATAATGATTAATCATTATTGTTAGAAGTTTGATGGTAAATATTTTCGAACTAAAAACAAAAATTTTTCTTGCTCGTTATTTCTATATTTTCAATAAACACCAAAATCTACTCATCAAATATCGTAGATACAGTACAACTATTGTAGTTTTTAATATAAAAATTTTTATTTTTTAGAATTCAATTTCTAATTTCGATAAGATATGTTTGGCACAAATACTGATACAGTATATGGCGCCTTAAGACAAGAAAAAAAAATACTTAATTGCACTCACCTAGTAAAGTATTCATTCAAGAACAATACGAATCCTTTCGCTTTTCTTTTATTCTCTTGATTCTGTCTGGTACCTGTGTGGTATATATATATATATGTATGTGTTAAGAATAACACTATTCGTAGACAGATAAAGAATAAATAACTTCAGTTGGTAGTAGTAACTTTCATTCTTGTGTTTAGTATAAACGCGAACGACTACTGTATTAATAATACAACTCAAATGGAAAATTTTGCAGTAAAGACATGGAAAGCATCTGCTTACTATGATGTTAATAATCATCATAATCAAGTAAATTTTTCTTTTCAATCGAAATATTTAACTATAGAAAAAAAAACCGATCTTAGATATAGTTTAAATATAATTAAATTCTTTCGCGCTAAGTTTATATCTTGTATAAACATAATTCGAGTTGTTTTATATTAAAAAAAAAATTTTATTGACATTTCTCATTTTCCTATGTTAGAAGTCAATATCATTATTCATTGTTAAATATTTTGTGTATATTTAATAAAAATTAAAAGTTTTTCTCTCTATTTAATTATTAAATTTGGCAATGTCAAGTGCACCACATGAGAGTGTTGTTGATAATGAAATTACTTCATCACAATCACAAATACCACCAGAAACTACTGTTACCATGTCAACAGTTGATGTAGTTGGCAAACTGATTAATCAGGTTTTTTCACTTGCGAACTCCCTTTGTTTTTTTGCTATTTTTTTTCGTATATCGTTTTTTATAGAGAACACTGCCGGATAAGATCGTCATTCTGCCCCATCTCACTTTCAATGGAATAGAAAGGCAGAGTATGAAATTCTGTACATTTCCGTGTACTTGTTTTGCTATATTGAAGAGAAAAAAAACTTTCGTGAACTAATCAATCTTTTGAGCGTTTCCCATAATACCTATGGTAACCGTAACTTTTTCTTTTGCAAACTTCATATGAAAACTAATAGTCTAGATCGACGTAGTTTTTCATGCCCGATAAATTGACATATCGATTGGGTTATACAGAGTCAGACTTTGACTCTGTATAACCCAATCGATATGTCAATTTATCGGGCATGAAAAACTGTATCGATCTACACTATTGATTTTCATATTGGGTTTATAAAATAGAAAAATTATGATTACCATTGTTATTATCGAAAACATTCACAATTGATAAACCACCTAAGACTATTTAGCCCTCGAAAATTTGTTTTGTTTTTTGCATTCAACACAAATGTGCAGAATTTTATGCTCGATCTGTCTAGTCTATTGAAAATGAGATCTAAGGGAGTGGCAAATTTATGATCTTTTCTAGTAGGTAACTTTTTCGTTGTAAACTAATAGTTATTATTTATATAGAGATGGACATCATCATTACTTATATCTATCATTATTGTTGTACTATCTACTAGTTTTGTCATGGGAGTTAATATTGGTGGTCCAAATTTATATAATGGTGTATGTTAAAATTTGTATTATTTTAAAATTATGTTTTCTTTTTAAATATAGTTTATTGTACCATGGACTCGTGGTCATCCATTTCCTTGTCAAAAAGAGGGTAGTACATCACAATGGATAGCACGTAAATGGTGGGATTGTGTTTATAATGATACAACAAAAAATCTCCATGGTTATTATTATCTTCCTGACATATCTAAAAAAATTCTTATTGGTCAACGATTAAAAGATTCAATTCATAATGTTTTATTTGTTGTTGGTGGTTTTATTGGTGCTTATTCAGGACAATATTGGTATAAATGTTTATCAAGGTTAGTCTTATCAATTAAGTAAATCGTATTTAAAAATAAAAAATAAATTTAGACGTAATGCTATTTTTGCAAGTACACCATTTCAATTAGTCGCATCAATATTTATGATTATTACATTGTATATATATCGTGGTTATGATACAGATGATCCAGATCAAACAACTATCGATAAAGCAACGAAAAATAAAGATGTAGCAATAAGTTTTTTTTATATTTCTCGATTTCTTTCTGGTTTTTCTGCTGGTATATAAATACATATGCATCCATGATTGATTCAATTGTTTCTTATTTATTTTAGGCATGTGTTGTGTAGTATCAACATCTTATTTAAATGAAATAAGTCCTCGAGCACTTCGAGGTACGGTAGGCTCTTGTCATCAATTAGCAATTGTAATAGGTATTCTTGTTGGACAAATTATTGGTTTACCATGGATATTAGGACGACATAAGTAAGATTATAATTTATTATACAGTAGTAGACAAAAGTTCACCGTTCCACCGGAGGAGATTTCGAAATTTACATGCACATACTCCATCAAGAATGTAAGTCAGAAATATAAGGTCGCTCTAGTAGCTTAATTACAACGAGAATTATGATAGACGGCACCTATTTTTTGCTCCAAGCTTTCTAACTTGACAAAGCTGTCTAGTAAATTTTGCATTTTCTTTTATAAAATACATGACTAATTCTTGATAGTTTCATTTGCAACTGAAGTCCAGTATATGATCTTTTGTTAGTCAAAAGATTATGTAATTTGCTGCAAGATTCCTATCTCTAGATGTGTTTGAGCCTTCGGCATCAATCCGACAATGATTGGCATGATGTTTCCCTTTAGAAAAAGGTTCTTTTTTGCGATTTTTAGACAGTAATATTCAACTACAGGCAAAGCTTTTCCAAAAATTTTGAGCTCAATTCATTGAAGTATTGCTGAGTTATGGTAAAATAACCATCAAAATTGGTGGTTCTAATCTACATTCTTGATAGATTATATGCACACAAATTTTCATACCTCCAGTAGAATCCATCAGGTCCACAATTTTCAGATTCGGAATCGATTAACAAAAAATTTTCAGATCCGGACCGGGTTCGGAATCAATCCGATGAGCTCTAATCTCCAGTACGTGTGGTAGTTGAGATCTGGTATGGGAAGGAGTACTTTTGTCCATTACTGTAAATTACAAAAAAAAAGAACTTTTATATTTGTTAAGTGCTTGGAATTGGGGTATGTCATGGGTTGGTTTATTTTCTTTGATGGGTTCTGTATTTATTTGGACATTGCCTGAAAGTCCTCGATGGCTTGTGCAAGAACGAAAACAAAATGAAGCTGCACAATCATTACGTAAATTACGACAAAGTAATGATATTGAAGCTGAATTAATTGAAATTGAAGAAGAAGAAACTGCATTAGATAAACAAAATCTTGGAATTGGTAAAGTACTTTTATTAAATGAATTTCGATGGCCATTAATAACAAGTTTGGCATTAAATGCTATTCAACAATTATCAGGCATAAATGCTGTAGAAAAGAATAATTCCTTGTGTTTTTCTATATATGTATATATTTGAATGTTTTATTTCAAAGGTATTCTTCTATTCGGGAGATATGTTTTCAGTAGCTGGTCTACGTGATGAAAAAGTATTTTGGGGTATATTAGCAACAGGTGTTATTAATCTTATTGCAACACTTATTGCTTTAAAATTTATTGAATTATTGGGCCGTCGTCCATTGATTATTTGGCCATTAGCTGGTATTATAATTGTTATGGTTGGTCTTACGATATTGATTGTTTTAAATGTAAATTTTAAAAAAAAATCTAAAATGATTTGTTTTTTTGAAATAGATATCTATATAAATAATGTAACTTCTTTAGGCAAAAAATTCAGAAGATAAGAAAGAAGCATTGGCGATAGTTAGTATTATATTTATTCTTATCTTTATTATTTTATTTGCAATTGGTCTTGGACCTATTCCTTTCGTATATTCAAATGAAGTATTTGCAGTTGAAGCACGTGCTACTGGACTTTCATTAGCAATGTTTATCGTATGTATTATATTTATGAACACTATTAATAAAATATTTTTTCTTTTATTTTTAGAATTGGTTTTGCAACTTTTTAGTTACTTTACTTTTCTTACCACTTCAATCCGCAATCGAAGGTTATGTATTTCTGGTTTTTTGTGTACTTGTAGCATTAGCATTCGTTATACTTTTCTTTAAAGTAAGATTAATTGTTGTTATTTTTCTTTTATTTTTTTGTATTAATGCCAATAAAATTTACATCAATTTGTATTTATTTCAGATGCCCGAAACAAAAAATAAAAAATTACAAGATATTCAAGCATTCTGGAAGTAAACATGATCAAAAAACAACAACAACAACAACAACAATAATAATAAAATTTCTTGTTTTTTCTTTTCTCAGTACACATCTGTAGACATTCCTTATCCTAATAAACATTTCTCTGCATGTTTTATTCTAGCAAAAGATTTTAATCTTTATTTCCTCAATAGAAATATATTGAATTATTATAATAAATTTTCGACGGAAATGAAAGATCATCGAATAAATTATGATGGTCTTATGTTTTTTTTTCTGTATGAGTATTAAAGAGTAAAAAATAGTCAATAATAAAAGTAATAATGACAACTCATAAGAATTTCTACAAAATCTTTAACATCATCAAATGTTTATCACGTTTTCTAAATCCATTGCGCCATGTTAGTCGAAGCGCATACACGATGGTTTACATAAGATACTTGTTGATAATAAGTAATAGATCATGTTAATTTGTCGAATGTTGAGTGATATGCATATAACTTGAAGATAAGTGACTGAGATTTAATTTGAAGAAGCTATACAGATTAGAGGTGTTAACATATTAAATAAAGTTCTTAGAAAGAATGATGTTAAAGATGAATTAAGAAATCCTTTCAATGATTGATAGTTTTCGAGAATTTCTATGTTCGATAGTTTTCATTACTATCTGTAGTTTAGAACAGTATGATAATTGTTTTATTTATTTTTTGATTTATGTTGAAATACATTATTGCTCTTTGTGAAACATACAAAATACTCAGTTTTATCAAAAAATTATTTTAATATATCACAGAACTGTCTTACGATCTATTACATATATCTAATTGATCGATGAAATAATTCTTGTTTTTGGATATATTAAAATTTTAGAAATAAGATTTACATCTTATTTTTAGAAATTCTCAATCCAATAAACAGATATGTTTTGTGTTTTTTGTAGAATGATTGTCATTAACGTTTCATATAAAACAGAATGTTATGACAGTTATTTATGTGAGAAGAATTCTAAGGTACAGAATAAAGAACGATAAAGTCCCAGGAGAATATCTATAGAAGTTCATGTTAAATATGGAAACACTTATGAAAAAAGTGTATAATTACCGAAAAATATTATTTGTCAACAGAAGTTTTATAATTGAAATAAAATATATGATTTTCTTTTTCTATACAAATGTCAATCACTTTAGTTATTTACAAATAAATATTGTTCTGTAAAAATACGTCTATCGACAAGCAAAGTATTACTGATGATAAAGAAAATGATCAATGATACAATTATCTAAGTAATAATTATTAAATAGAATTTTGGATGGTAAAAAGAAGTAGATAGACTATGAATTTTTTTATTAAAGAGAAATAAGATATACAAAAAAAATTAGTCATGTTTATTCATTTTAATTAATAGCATCATATAATAATTACCTTAGTTCTCGTAGACAAGAAAAACAAGAATCATTATTTATACGGTAGAAAATCAATCAATTCGAGATAAAACTGCTGAATGATTGTTAAAATATAAATTAAGATTTTAGTCTAAGTTTCAATTTCAATTTATGAACAATAGTTATTTGATTGTTGAACAACAGAGTAAAGACAAAATACTTCATAGGCATACGATTAAGATAGTCTTATCATGGACAAATCTGTTCTAATGCTTTTATATGTTTCATGATACCGCAATACATGAGTGTAATACAAATGCAGGCAAAGTCAATATTCTGGTATTACGAATAAATCTATGATTAAGATAAAATAGTTATTATTTGATATACAAGCATTATGTCTTTCTAGACAAATAATATACATTTCTTCAATCATTATTGTTAAACAAAAGACGATAAGATTTCATTTCATGATCATATCAAAACAATAGACTATTTACCTTTTAATTTAGGAAGAAATGTAAAATATTTTATAAAATTAAAACTTCAAATCTCTTATTTATTGCAATGAAATGGTATATCAATAAAATCATTTGACACTATCGTCCTTATGACAACATTATCACCATATCTTATATCTGATCATTACTTAATAAATAATAAAAAATGATCATGTTGTTTTTTTGTTCTTAGAAAAACAAATTCATTATATTCAAATAAAACTCTATGTAAATCTAACATACAGTAATTGGATATTCATATGCCTCCAGACTGTATACAGCAATCAAAAATCGAGAAGGCAAGAAAAACATAATGTGTGAAAAAAGTGCTGATAATTGCAAAATATGTCATCTTCTATTGATTTTAATGTTCACCTTGTCTCTCGTCATATATCACACACAGTCAATCTACTAGGTTTTACGGTATATTTATATATATATATATATATATATACACGTGTCTCAATCAAATTTGTTTTCAAACTAAAGATAAGTATCACCATGGACATCAACTACAAATGACAGATGGCAATCATCACTCATTTGATTGAAATAAAATATAGAGATAAGCAATACATTTTTCTTTTTTTTTCTTTGTGATAATTATTATAAAGGTAATTTTATATAACCTGTTAATTATTCTTTTTTCTTTTTATCTATGAAAAGAAATATTGTATATAATAAAATTCTATGAATGTTTCTATTTATTTTTAGTGGCTTCATTCGTCCTTTAATAATCATTTAGCTCAAGAAGAGAATAGGTAAAAAAGAAAGAGTCAGAACAAAGTAGAAGAGTTAAATTGTGTGTTATGTCCTTTTGGCACTATAACTCTACTCTCTTGCCCTCTCTCTCTTCCCGATAGCAGGCTGTTCACCGTTTGACTCTCTTTCTCTCTCTCACACTTTTTTCTCTTTGTATACTTGTATGTCGATTCCTTTTCACTTTTTAAGCGAGCATGTGCATATGTAATACTAAACTCCTTTTCCACCACTAACCGTTTACCTATAGTCTCATAAAAAAAAAAACTTGTTTCGCCATCAATAGAAAAAGCACTAACATCGT